AGTTGCTATAAAATATTATCAAGTTCATATATTATGCCAGCAATAGTACAAAGCTTTCCAAGAGTAGAGCAAAATCAAATTTACACTTGCACACATTTGTACAATGGATAGACTCTTTAATCACTAGCTCAGTCAATCTTGACAATCCATCCCCATCTATCCTCAGTAGTCCCACTTTGGATTTCCAAAAGTTCCGAATAGAGCTTTTTCGACACAAGTTGGCCGCTCGTCTTATACTCGATCCTGCACAAACAAATATATTATAGGGTATACATTTGAAGTATAGAGTAGATAATGGACGAATGATACGAACACGGTATCATATTACTTGTTTTTCACATCTGCTTGACGAATACAAGACTCACAAAAATTGAGTTCTAATTCTGAATCAGAAAATGTCGATAGGCTTATTAACAAGTGTTTGTTACCTGTTGCCCTTGTAAGTGATACTTCCCACAGGGATAACCCCAACAGCTGTCCCGGTGCAGAAGACTTCGTCTGCATCACTCAATTCTTCAATTGGGATACAACGCTCTTCGACCTGCTTGTTCGAATATTCAAAAATTTACATCAAATTTACTACATGCATTTTAACACGTATCATTTTTTTAATTTTATTGTGAAGTTTATTGCTGTTGAAATAAATTATTTGTCCGATAATTTGGCTTTGTTTTGGTAAACTACTTTATATGAAACATTTTCATTATGATTATCACACTGAAAGTTCCTTTGATGTTACTTGATAGCTCACTGCATGTAACAGTACATATGAGTAGCACAGAATAGCAACAAAAATGACCTTGTAACCCAGAAAACGCGCAATGTCCATGATGCTTTTACGCGTGACTCCTTCGAGAATAGTACCGTTGGGTGCTGGAGTCGAAAGAACATTGCCCTGCACAAAAAAACAGCAAAAATATTTTCTGAAACGTTCTTAGCCACACGGTAACTTGTTAGTCGCAGGGAAACCTAATCATCCGCAGTTTTTTTTTTCTAACTCCCACCAAAAGTATTGTCTCGTTCATGTAGTTATATTGACACGCAGGTTAAGAGATGGAACGAGTAATGAAGAAATACCTTGAGTACGAAGATGTTACAAGACGAGACCTCTTCAATGTTTCTTTTATTCACAGAATCCAAGTACAAGACATCCGAGAACCCTCTCTCCCTCGCTCGACTTATGGCTTTCAAGACCTACACGACACAACAGTTTGAAGTGCAGTTCTGCGAATTATACGATAATTCGTACATTGTGGCTACATATTCTTCGTAGCATATACTTACGGGGGCATAGTTAGTAATGCTCTTGACACCTCCAGCACCTCCATTGGTGGCTCTGTGAAATTCATCTTCAACGTACAAGTTGAGGGGTGCCGTTCCTCTCTGCAAAATCAACCCACAGTATAGAGAAGATACAAGAATATGCACGCACAATGCGAGCATAAATATTCCCATTCAATCAAAAAATAGGAAAATAGTATGACGACCTTAAAATAATTGCCAACAGGAGAAGCGTACACTAAAAATGTGTACTCAGAAGCCGGTGCCAAACCCAGCACAGGTCCACTTCCTATGAGCAAAGGCCTAATGTACAACGACCCTTTCCCCGGAGGAGGGATCTGCTCTAAACATAGAAAACGAACAAATAACGAATATACGAACAAATAAAAAACGAACAAACAACGCAAGATACACGAATGCATTCACTATGAATGATTTTACCCAGCGGGTGTTGGCAAGTGCAGTTTGTGTGACAGCATCGAGGAATTGGTGAAGAGAAGGAGAAGGCATGCACATTCTGCGGGCACCACATTGCATGCGGATAGCATTTTCTCGAGGCCGAAATAGGTAAATACCTCCATTTTCTCTCCTGCATGCTTTCGTGCCTTCAAAAAGTCCCTGTTCGCAAATTTAGAAGAACCAGATTAATGCCTTATTGCAGATAATTTGTTGGTAGAACCGAAAGCATTACATGAAAAGGGCTAACGTGAAATCATCGATCGAAAGGTCGGGAATTACTACAATATGTAAGTTTACCTTTAATGTTGAGAACAAACTATAACATTTTACAACAGGGATCTTATAACATGTCAACAACTCAGGTATGTTTCTAAAACATCATAAAGCCCAAGTATTTTATTTTATTTTTTTTTATTTTTTTTCAGTGATCACACTAAATAACATGTCAACAATTCAGGTAAATTATTTAAAAAAATCCAAAATTTTATACCTGCCCATAGTTCAAGACTCCAGCAGAAGGGCTGAGCTCTATGTTGCCATAACGGCTTAGCCGCCCTTTCTCAAACGGCTCGCCTCTTTCGCATTTCGTCATATACATATAATCTGTTTGCATCAAACCGAACCCGAGATTGTCCCAATCAACACGCGCATATTCGGCATCCACGGGACTACATAACATAACAGAGTTGCCAAGTATTATATATATACACATTATACGAAAACTTAAAACACAAACCGTATAAATAAGTAGTACCTGCAGTTAGATTCCTCACAATCTTCTTGCATAAAAGACGCAGCAGCTCGAGTCACCATGTAACCACCTCCATTCTACATAACATGAAAGTTGAGCTCAATATCCTTTTACAAAGCATTAGTGATTATCAGACAGAGCTTAGCCTTAGTTTCTTGCAAAGTGAACAACTTATTACATTAATATAGAAGAAGGGTAGCTGAGTAGACTAGCCTTTGACATGGGCAACTGGCCCGAGACTCGGCCCAAGTGGCCCGGGACTCGGCCCAACTGGCCCGGGACTCGGCCGCGAATACTCCTCAGTATCATTTTCTACTTATAGAAAGTGAGACTACTTAGCCAAATTTTGAAGTGTTTGCAAGAAAAGTCTGAGTACTTATAGATTTTCTTCTTCTAATATATAAGAGTGTAAATGTGATGTGAGGATAAGTTGCTGAGGAAATGGAAGTGGATATACATGCAAAATAGTAAGCTATAAAATATTTTTTATTGTAAGGTCCTTTTCTGGTTTTAAATATGTATTTATATATTTTTTTTCTATTCATGCACAAGCTTTAAACAGTTATATGACATATCACTTAAGAGATTAAGATGTATATTTTATATATTCTAGTTATCATTTATAACATAAATTATTTATAAAAAAATAAAATTGAATCCTATTTCACAAAATAATAATAAAAAATAAATAAATAAAATGAAGAACAGAGAATGACAAATCAGGTTATATGGAAAATTAGATTTTGAATTAATTAAGGCAAAACACTGCTTGTGATAAAATTCGAATGAAAAATTTCAACGGAGATATATTCCATTGGAATTCCAACAGCAATTCCAATATAGATATTTCAATGCTATTATTTCCGATGGAATGTGTAGTTTTCCATTTGAATTTCAGTTGGATTCTGACGAATTCGACGATACATTTTCCAACTGTTGAAATATGGGTGAAAATAAAAATTCCAACGAAAACAGTATATTCCAACATA